AAAAATACTTTTAGGGATGAAGTTGATATTAAAGTATCAATGCAATAAACAATAATTATGAGCCATGAAAAATTAAACCATGTTAAATAGGCAATACTTTGTCTTCCATTTCCTGTAATGTTTGCTGTTCCTCTGCCTTAATTCAAATGTCTGTATGTCACAATTCAAAAAGAATGATTCCTCGGAACCTCACAGTTATTTTATATGAGAAAAACACTCATCACCAGTAAAGTTAAAATTATTGCTTTCATTATTACAATTAAAAATAAAAAGTGTTCTAATTTGAAAATTTTACCAGTATGTTTTTGTTGCTACTTTAATGTTGTGTACTATATAAAATTTGTGACTACAGCTAGCTTGTCTTTGATAATCAGTTCTCTGAGATTTTATGAGGATACTTCAAGATGCTTAAAAAATGAATTTTTTTTGGAGGGGTGTGCAGAGAAATTCCCAATACTCCAGTGAGGCATAACTAATCTTTGTGTCCCACCTAGTGAGGTATAAGTGAATCCACGCTGACCCTTTCATGTCTGATTCTAAGTTTTCTTTGTTGTTGTCTGTCCATTCTAGGCTTTTTTGTTTGTTTGTATGTTTGTTCGTTTGTTTTGAGGGGTTTCTGGAGCGATCCTAAAACTGATGACACATGTCTTGCTAGAGTTATAAGCCAGTTCAGACCATCCGAAAAACAACTAGTACAGCAAAATCATGCTTCAACACTATAAACAGCTAAATACTAAAATAAAAATAGACGAGACAGCAAAATAATAATCTATAGCCATTTTGAGGTGTATGGAACTCGGTTGAATATAAACCAAAAAATTGAAATGTCTATGAAGAAGTCACAGGATGTAGTTAAGAACCCGCATTTTCCTATTAACATATTGTTAATCAATACCATGTCAATTAATGCCATAATGTTGTAAATAGTTGTTGATGTTATGTTGGGGCTTTTAATGGATTGGGATGATACTTTGCCGGCTTTACCTTCAGACCAGAGATGGTCTCAGCAAGAAATCGTTGAACTCACTAGGACAATAAGATGCTGGACTTTATGCTTGGTAAACACTTCCAATGAAAGAACCTCAACTGAATTTGAACTGTGGTAACGCAGCAAGGTGGAGAAATCCACCATGGGGAGAGGGTTTGGGGAGGGGTGGGGGGAATCCCAGTGCCCAAATCACTGTGTCACATAATGCAATGCAATTAATAATAAAAAAAAGAAACAAAAGAATTAATTTTAAAAATAATTTGATTTTAAATTCATTTGTGGTTTTTAAATAATACACATTTTGAATATTTTTTGAACACTGTGTGGAGATTGATTTCCAAGTCATTTTGAAGTAAGTTAAGTTTATCTTTTATATGCATTTTCCATGAACTTTTTGGGGTATCCACTTACATGTCAGAATTACTTGGTCAAGAGGTTTTTCTAATCCTATGGTTACCTGGTTGTACTGTCAACTTAATTCTCCTGTGAAGCCTTTCTCATCATTATCTTTTGTTAGTAAGTCGTTATATTTAAAAGTTTTACATACTGCATCTTAAGTATGACACACTTGTCATTTTTTATGTCATGAAATTTTGGTCGAAAAATAGTTCATAGAATTGTGGAACGCATTTCATGCAGAAAATTCTAGCTCTGTTAGTCTTGTAACATATACTACCTTGTTGTTATGACTCGGCACCTGTGTATACTTATGTTCAGCTTCTCTTGCACATTTAGTCTCTTTGAGGAAGGACCTCAGGGTGTTATATATTTACAATAACATTCAGTGATCCTGCGGCTGCAGAACCATAAGTAGTTTCACTAATGTAACAGAGAGAACGTTTCAAGAGAATTCTAGTAAGCTCAATTTAGTTTCCAGACTTGGCATTCAGAGAGAAAAAGCTTTCATGAGAAGTGCAAACAGAGTCATTCGGGTTGACAGATACTGTGGATCTTGTTGGAATTTCACTCCAACGATTAAGACATTTCTGGAAATTCGTTTTGAGGTTTGATTATTGTTTATAGCCCTTGCTTATACTCTAAGGGAACAGTGTTTTCTCTGCTTACTGCTTGTTGAATTCTTTGTTCAATGGAGGGCTAAGGTTGTGGTTGTAAAGTAAACTGTAAGTACGTCATCACAAAAATTAAATGGAAAGAGGAATAGGGATGGAACAAAGTGAGGGCAGATAAGATGGGAATTATTATTTTGCTCTTGAAATTTTACATATGAAATAGATGAGCTTCTTCCTTTTATATAAATAAAAATAAAGTTTAATAGAATGAAATAGAAATTAGCTTGTTAATTCATAACCAAATCGCAGTGATCTTTGTAGCTTTTCATCTCAAAGGAAGTTAAGAGATAATAGTTTAGTGTTTCTGTCAGATTAACCTGGAAGTCAGGTTGATGATTGTAGCAAATTTGATAATTATTTGAAGCTCTTACTGTCATCCATCCAACTCACCATCATTGATTCTGCCCCAAGACTGTGGAATAATGAGTATGCCTGTGACTGCTGGCATTTTACCTACTACCTTCCTTTTTCAGACTCTTTGCAAGGGTGTTTCCAAAGAATTCAAAGACAATTTCCATTTCCATGATACTTCTGTATTTCAGTTTAGTTTGTCCTGGTCTTTGGAGTTCTAGGCTGACTGTATTTAGTTATGAATCTTTCATTAAGAGACATTACTCAAGGATACTTCAAATACTTTTGAAAAACAGTAACCATTCTTTTTATGATCATCAGGGGTGAGGATGGAGATATTCTATAGTATTATTTGCAAATCAGAGAGCCAAAATTCTAAATTTCCCTTGAAGGACAAAGACTGAACATTCTTTCTGGTAGTTACATCTGAGAAATATGTTTGCTTTTTGTTTGTTTCTCCTCAAGACAGAGTGCTGTGAAAGTATGTGGTAGAAGGAAGAATTCTTAGAGTTCCAGTATTATCAACTCCTCTCTGATTTTTGAAAATGTTAGTTTGATAAACAAAGTGAAAGGGACTCCACAGTGTTGAGATAAGAAGCTGTTTTATCAGGTGCTCTTAGATGCCAGGCATTGTTCCCGGGATACAGAAATTAATAATATGCTTTACTCACACTAATACTCTTGCTAATATTGAAATTTACACATTGTTCAAATATGCCGTAAACTTGCTACATATATAACACATGACAGTTCTATAGAACAAAAAAAAAGAAAAAAGTAGTCTGAAAGAGTAAAGCAATAAGTGTTTTGGAAAAGAAATTTTCTTATTGGCTTTTTCCTGGGTATCTGAGTTCTGTAAATTGTTTTCTCTCCTTGGCCAGCCATCTGCCCCCCCCCCCCAAAAAGACAAGGTTTTGTAATGATAGGAGGTGATTATAAGTGCATGCCCTGCCATACTTCAAAGAAGGAGGACTGGTTATTTTAAAAGTGTTATGAGTACATTGGCATGATTGTACACTAATGAATGTCATCACAAAATGGTTGACTTGGATTGGCAGTTCTGTGCATGCATAGTATAAGATCAGGTTTTAAAGTACAATGTAGAAATTCCATATTCAGAAGGCAAGCACAATAGAAAAAACATGTACTTTGATATAAAATATACCAACTTCCTAAATACTAGCTTGTATGGCTACATCCCTGCATCTAAATCCTAATTACTTTAGGAAGAATAGAGACCATTTCTCCATTAGTCTTAAGCATTTGATGGTTTGATGTTTAAAAAAAGAGTTTATAAATATAATAGAGAACAAAAAGTAAAAATTTTGAAAATAATTGTTCAGTATTACTCTGTTCTGGTAGGTTTAAATGATCATCTTGAATAACAAGTAAAAACACATTGTAGTTCCTATAGTTTGTTTTATTCTGTATCTTAGCAAGGCAAAAATGGTGAAACCTCATAACTGTATGGCATATTTACATGAAGGTGTGCTATTTATTATGTTTTTACTTGCTGGGGCAAAATTGCTTATATGAGAATTATCCACCTCAATAAATACAATTTTAAAATAGAAATTTATTAACTTTTTTCTTTACTGAGGTTAATTATTTTTATGCCATGATCACATTTTTGGTATAGACTGTGATTGATAGAGACACTGAAGAAGTGTATGCACCTACTGTGGATTTAAAAAGCCATAAAATGATTGTATTTACAAGTTGGAAATTGCTTTAGCTTTGCATTTTAGCACCACCTGGTGGACAAAATATCATTTGTTTATCTTTTTCTCCAAGAGTCCCTTTTCACACTTTATACTATCCAAAAATGACGTATCTTTATAGATATTCAACTGTAAAAGTTTTAGATTTTAAATAACACTGAAAACAAAGTAATGTAAACACATTTTATCTAACCTATTTCCTAAGCATTATTGCAAATTTAAATATCTGAGTTTTTTTAAACTTCATGTACATATGAGTTGATTGGTATTATACATTCAAAATCTCTCTTCTATATTATAATTGTTTATATTTTTCACAATAAGAAGTTCAGCAAAACCAGAAAATTTTCTGTATTCTATTAATTCTATTAATTGTCATTTAAGTTACATTGTCTTTAAAATATACAACTAAATACTTTATAACATTACTTTTTTGAAGGATTTTTCATACTATCAGTTCTCAGAATGTCAGCATCTTTTGCAAAATTTAACTGAGTGTTATAATTTTTATTACTATAAAATAAATAATCTTTATGTTCACTTACCCCATGCAAGGAAAATTCTATTGTCATCATTTAAATAACATACATATATGTAGAGTACTTCTCACTTTATAATAGCTATTATAATTTTCTTAACAATAAATTTGACAATATTTTACAGTGGAAAATACAAATGTATTTAAAGCCACTCTTGAAAATTTTGAATATATGAATCTTTGTATTGGCCCACATTTTTCTGAAATCTATGTCTATTGAAGGACAATAAGACAATTCACCTGAAAATTCCATTGTGTTCCAGTGTTACCTAAAGAAAGGGTTTTTAAAGCTTTTCTCTCCCCCTACCCTCTGTTTTCCCTTTTGTCTCCAGGCTTTGGATGGTACACTGTAAATTCAGCATATGGAGATACCATAGTCATGCCTTGCCGACTTGATGTACCTCAGAACCTTATGTTTGGAAAATGGAAATATGTAAGTGCAACCTATCTTGATCCATTGCCTTTGTTTTTGTAAATAAAATCCCTTAGATGAATAAATGTGAATTTCAAATGATTAGAATGGTAATGTTCGTCTGTGTACAAATATAGAGTGGTAGAGTTGACATATATGTCACAAATAATGTATAAAACTTGCATTGCAAGTATAATTTCAAAATAAAGCAAATAGATAAATAACCCTTAGATCATATTAGTCTGAAATTTACAGAGGCAAAGAAAAGTCAGAAGGACATATGGGGGTGAAGTTAGAGGAAGATGGCAGCCTTGGCAGGATTTTCGCCACTGGCTTATGCTGTATGTTATGAGTCTATTGCAAAGACGAGACACAGGGGTGACAAGCACACTCAGGTATTCCCTGGAGATGAGTCATCAGCATTACACACCAGTGTGTGGTGGTTAACCTTAGCAATATGTTGACACTTCAGCAATTTTCTGCATGTAACATTTTCATTGTATCCATTTCCTGCAGATAACAAGTAATATTTTCTTGGCTACAGAGGTGTAGATGGATCTGAAAATGGAAAGTAGAGATCTTGATAGTTGGGTGTGGAAGGCTAGGTAACTTTGACCGAAGAGATGTCTCAAGTTAATCAGTGAAAATCAATCAAAGATGCCTGCAGAGTACAGTTTCTCAGTCTGAGGCACAAGACATTCACAGCAGGCTGCAAGCTTCAAGTAGATATATGTTTCCTTGGACACAACTGCAAAGTTTGCCTAGTTTGTTGAAATTTTAAGAAATCAATTTTAACTGTACAGGGAAAGGTTCTTAGTTGCTATACGTCCTAGAGCGTTTCATATGTTGAGGTACATTATGAATTGTGCAAGGGTCACGGTGTCATTCATTTCTGAGGCTCCCTTGACCATAACAATTTGTTCTCAAATATCCCCCCAAAAATATTCTACAGAATAAATTCTGGATTCTGAAGTCAGACCATCAGGTTTCACAATATACAAAGAATAAGGTTCTGGACAAGTGAATTAATCCCTGTTTCTCATCTGCAAAATGAGAAGATAATAATAATAATGTCTTCCTCATAGTGTCGCTCTGAAGGTTGTATGAATTCATTCAAATCAGTGTACTTATCTATTACTTGACATGTGGTAATCACTTGTGGAATCTCTTGATTTCCACTGTGAACTGTGATACCATACCCACATCCTGCTGATAGAGTGGTGTGTAAAGGGGAAAGAAAGGCAATAAGAAAGAATAGCACTTTGAATATTATCCCCTGACCATGCAGTAAACTCAGTAATTTTGAAATGTTTCTGGTTTCCTATAAACATGAAATTTTGAAGTTAGGCCAATGAAGGTGAATTCCATTTTAATTCCAGTTTTAAGGTCTTGGGAGACTACCACTGAATTAAGCTTGCAATCAAAAGGAATGGATTCAGATATATTAAAAAAAAAAAACTAATCATAGAAACTTCCAACTACAAACAAGGAAGTAATATTCATCTAAATTGAACTGACACCGTGGTATTGGATGGCAGTTTTCAAAGGTTAGGTAAGCAAAGAGTTTCAGCAATAAACGTTTGAGTCTTGATCTGCAGAAATACGTACAAGTAACAGGTTGGATCAAGTGAAAGGAAACTAACATGTAAGGCAGACAGGCTGCTTTCTCCTGATCACATAATACTCTCTGTGGGTAGAGTTCTGAGAACACTGCTAACTCTTCCTAACTCCACCCTGACTACCAGTTTTGGCATCTGCCACAAAAGAGGTATCCAGTGGCTACATATCTTCACAGTGGGGCCAGGATGCTGAGTCCAAATCCCAGCTCAGAGATTTATTACCTAGGGCCTTTGAAAGTTATTTAACTAAATCTAACTTCCATTTTCTAATCTTCAAATGAGGTTAATGTTGTAACTTCAACATACAAGGTTATTAGGAATACTAAATCATTTAATTATGCATAAAGAGGCCAAAAAAAGCATCCACCACATAGTTTCTCAGAATTAATAGCTAGTATTTATTGTAAAAGGGAATGAGCATGGAAACTATAGGTACTGATCTGACAAATTTCTGGTTTAAGGCAAGGATATGAATTGTAAACATAGGCTAAAATAAAAAAATTAAGAATATACTTGATATTTCCAGATATGTATGGAACTATAATTTTTCAACTCCACACTTATCTTAGTAATAAATCTTAATAGTTTTCAAATTTAAGCCTTGACAGGACCTTTGAATTTGTCATGTATGTTAGTGTGCTGTATCATGTTTTATTTTCTCAGAGGTTGCATGAGATAAGTAGGGACGAGACTGGTCTGAACTTTAGGTTAAATTGTTTATTGGATAAGAGAATTTCCAGAGCAGTTGAATGAAGAAATGCATCATCTATCACAGTGCTCTTGGTGTAAGTGTGTACAGCAGGATGTATTTTGCTGTGATGTAATTTCATACTGAAAGTTTTGAGCCAAATTATATGACTCAGGTAGCAAAACTACAGATTCTGATGGATCATCTTATTATATTGCCTAATGGACATGATTGCTTTACAAGAGCAAGCACTATTCCCACAGAAGGCTGGTGTTGTGATGCCGTGTGCAAAGGTCAGCTCTATCATTTTTCAGTTGAAAGGTGCTTGTGGACATTTCACGGATGTGGCTTAAAATGAAGCATATGCCAAAAAATAATGACCCAAGATATCTACGTGAGCACTTACCCAAATATGCCCACTCTGATGCTTAACATAACTTTGTACATTCATGTTTTTTTTTTAATCTTATGTGCATATAAACCTAGCCTTTGCCAGATTCAATACAGTCCCTGACTGTCCTTCAGTTGTACAAGAGGAGGTCATATTCCAAGAGCTCTGTTCTTTCATTTTAGTGTGTTTAAACTGATACCCATAAAAGGACACAGTTCCTCTTATGAAGCAAGCTTTTCTGCAGCTAAAGATTTATGTGAGGCATGTAATCACAATTATGTTTTTGAATAAAAAATAGATATATTGGTGGGAGAACATGACTAAGGGGTTTTTGTTGTTCCAGCTGTGATGCTAAAATATCTGAATGTGCTTGTTTTTAAAATATTATTATTATTATTATTTGAATTTTAGGAAAAACCCGATGGTACCCCAGTATTTATTGCCTTCAGATCCTCAACAAAGAAAAGTGTGCAATATGATGATGTGCCAGAATACAAAGACAGATTGAGCCTCTCAGAAAACTACACTTTGTCTATCACTAATGCAAGGATCAGCGATGAGAAGAGATTTGTGTGCATGCTAGTAACGGAGGATGATGTGTTTGAGGCTCCGACAGTAGTCAAGGTGTTCAGTAAGTAATCTGCAGTATAACTGCTAAGTGGGATTGATGGCAGGAAGTAGAACGTGTTCTTCCCAGAGGTTGGATGCTCTGTCATGTCCCTACGGCAGGAATCTCTACGACAGGTGCTTAGAGATCATGCTGTCATGCACACTGCTCATTTCAGCAAGGAAAACAGAAAGTCGCAATTTGAAATAGGAGATTTGCAGAGAAGAATCAAAACAATATTCTCTTTTGTTCTGCTGTGTGAAATTTCCTAAGATATGAAACACGTTTATCAGTGACACCTGGCATATAATCTTTAACGTTTGCAGATATGCATCAACACATGGATCTGTGATATATGGAAGATACATGCTACATACATAATCATGCAAAATGTGTCTAATTATGCATGTGCTAGTAAACCATAAGAATTTATCACTTTGATGTGTAAAAACAGCAAAATAATACCCCCCCACACACACAAACATACACACCTTTCTAACACACACTGACCTTTCTTGCTTAGTGGTTTAGATTTTATTTGGTTTAGGAAACTTCCCTTTAAAAAGTCCATATTTAGTATGTGTTATTATACACCAAGTAAGACAATACAGAATTGTTGGAAGAAATGAAAATAGTAGAAGGAACTTGAATAATTATAGTACTTACTATAGCAAAGTTACTTTCTCCACTGATAACATATAGTTAATGCAACTATGTATTTAACCTTCTGAAATTCAAATAAAAGATTACAACATGATATCTGAGAAACTACACAAGGAAACACAGGTCTCAAGAACTTCAGAATGCCAATCTTTTAAAATTAAGGAATAAAGGTTTACTATCTAAATTTTGTTATCTGCTGTCTGATAAGTTGAGGACACCTGGAAATGATTAAAACAAACAGGGAAACGATGAAATCCAGAGGGACTTCCAACTCTAGCGAGTAACAGCTAGGTAGATCTGTCCCTTAAATGGCAATCAAAGCTCCTAGTTCATGCCGTGGATTCAGAGTGCTTATAGAATCAAAGGGAACCTTTGTTCCTGAGGGAAACCTTATAGAGGTACAGTGCATGTTCCAGTTGGTTGCTAATTCACACTGGGAAGTACCTGGAAGCCATCCATACTTCTCAATTATTTTATGAACCAAACCAAGTACCAAGTGTCAGTCATGGCCACTTCCATAAAACACCACAAATAATCCACATCCTCTATTTGCCAAGGGTCTATGTGTTATTTTTCTTGCATTTCACCTGGATGTTACTGAGAAGACAGATGGTATATTCAAGAGACTCTTTTTTTAAAGGGAGAAGCAAAAGACCTGATTATAGACCATGATACCACAAACAAACAAAAATTTGAAAAACATACCATGATAGATATATATATTTGTCAGGTTTCTTCCTTGCTTTGTTAAGATCATTCGCTATCAAGACAGTACACAAGAGTGCTGAGAAGTTCCAGGTCATTTCATTTAAAAGAAGAATTTTTGATACTTTTGAAATAAAATTTTTTTCTCCTTAAAAATGCATATGGAAATCAGAAAAAATTCAGTTTGTATAGTTTAACCAAATTTGTAAGCAGTTGTGGAATACAGAAGATCTCTAAGACTGAAAACAAATTCACACCCCACATATTGCCAGCAACCCCTGCCCCCTTCTCTTTTGAATGTTATTGAAAACAAAGTGATTCTCAGAAGCGAAATTTGCATTCCAGGCTATGAGCCAGGGAGAATTTACATAGACAAGTTACTCACTCTTGAAAATGGTGTTTTATACTAGAAACTATATGAGACCCTCAAGATTCAGTGAAATGAATAGCCCACCTCGTGATAAAGACAGAATTTACATGAGCATACAGAGACGTTCGTTTTTCTTAAATAATGCATTTGCTTGGAATTTGTGCAGGCAACAACAGCTATGACAAGGAGACTGTCATGCCATGCATGTCTGTATTGCAGTCACTCAGGAGTTACTGGACTTCTCAATCGGTCCTCTGTCTCCCACTGTTGAATCACCTAGCAACGTGCACTGTGTAGTACAGAATTGAGTGTGGTTCATGTGAGCCAATCCCAGATCAGCCTGCTTCAGGTTGCCGTCCCCATGGGCAAAATCAAATTATTTTTACTCAGACTAGAGGCCATGACTGAAGACTTTGTTACCTCTAATGTAGGTTTGTTTGTTCAGTTTTAAACTGTATTGCAGATATGAGAAATCACACCCATAAACCTTCTGTGATTTGAATATACGCTTTCTCATCACTAATACATATCTTTTTTTTTTTTTCTGCAATTGAATGCCATCACAGTGAGGCTGTGTCTGCATTTAATGCACATTTGAGGTTAATAAAACCATTCAAAAGCAAAGTAGACCTTTAAAGAGCGAGAGGTCAGATGGATTTTCAGAGGGCCAAATGACTGGTGCTGAAATGAAAAAAATCACTGAACTGGTCACTATGAGAACTTACTCTGTCAGATCTGCTCTTTTGTGACCTTGAGCAAATGGCTGTGCTGTAGTGGAGGCTTCATTCTTCTCATCAGTAAAATGATGGCTTTGGATTCAGTGAGAGCCTCTGCATTCTGTCGCTAGAATGCAAAAGGCTCCTTTCCAAGAACCACTGAAATGGATTGATGAAGCAGAGAAGCTGCTTCTACACAAATTTCTAGAATGCTGTGTATTCAGTATATCAAACTTTTCATAATAATTTGTTCGAACAGAAAAGGCCTGGGGTAAAAAGGATGCTTCCTTTATGAAAAAGCATTTGAAATGATAATCCAAGACAGTCCATAAAGCCACTTTCCTCTGGTGGTGCATCCTGGACTTGCATAAGCATCTTGCATTCCCATGATATCTGGTGTCCATGTGACCAGGTCCTCCCACACTGATGGACAATGCTTTCTGGCTCACACAGTTATTTGAAATATTTTGTTTTGATATCTTCCATTTAGTTGAAATAACTGTTGTTTTCAGTGCTTTATCAGAAATCGGTGTTCATCACATGGCTCTCCTCATGAAAATTACTTAGCTTGAAAGGAAAGATTTTTAGAAAAAAAGATTAAAAACTGATCAGCTTAATAAATGAAATCTACAGTGCATATTTCATTTTGATTGTTCAAATATAAAAACATTGTTTGTCTACCTAATGAGATAATCAATCTCCGTAAAGTCCCTCATGATGTATGGCGATGGTTGATGATGCGTTTTCAGGAAAACACTTCCAATCACTTTAACCTGCGTCTGCCTTCTCTTTTCTAATATCACATTGAGATATTCTGTGTATAGCTCTGTAATCCTAACATTAGCATACTTCTTACAAAATTTTCTAACTGATCACAAAATAGAGCAATACAGGGCGTTCTCTATGAAGGGTTCCTAGTTACACTAAATGTTAAATGTAGCTTAACTTTAATTATGTATGAATTGCTTCAACTTATTAACAATACCCTACAGTATATCCAATTTGAAAACAAGCCATTTGAATCTTAACGTTGCACATTATGCCCGTTGATACTGGTTATACATACATGCCGCTGAGAATATAGCTCTCTCCTGTCCCAACATACACAGCTGACAATGTACTGCACTATCAGATTTACAAGGAATATAACAAGATTCTCTGTAAAATATCCCTATCCTATAGTTTAAAACAACTTTAGTGTAGTCCTGTGACAATACAGCTCTTAGCTATTCCAATTAAAATAGCCGGATCAGCAAGGAAGAAAAACATGAATTTAGGTATGATTTTACCATTTGATAAATGTTCACATCAGTGATTTTAGAGGTACTTTGACAAAAATGTTCAAAGGCAGAATCTGGCTAAACCAGTGCTCTGGATTAAAGGTCTTTAATAATAACAGTAAATTTGTAGCATCATTTTTTCTTTCAATTTTTATATTTGTTATGAATTCTTAAATCATATTAACACATAATTCATGTAACTTTTAAAAACCACCTTAAAATCAGTATGCAATTTTGCTCAAAGAGTATATGGTCTCTTTTATTGTCTTCTAATTAATACACATTGATTGTTGACACATAATATAAAAGAAAATTATAAGTAAAAATGTATGAATATGGATGACAGGCAACAAAATTCAAAGATAAAATAACTCAAACAAATATATATGTTTAGCATGACTACTAACTGTGACTCCCTCTTCCATATACAATGATAAAAAATATCAAGAAAATGAAACTGTATTCATCCTTTTATCAGTTTACATTATGTTGGATACAGTTTTATTTTAGTAGAATAATAATTTTCAAAATTATTTGTGGAAACTATATACCTGACCATGTGTAAAGACCCAATGATTATAACACACCAAGTTTTAATGTTTATGCATGCATTGACAAAGTATGGTGCAGGCCACGTTCTACCTAAGAAGTGTATTGGGCTGAAGAAATCATATACGATTGTTTTACTATTAATTTTAAAGTCAAAAAAATTGTGGTGTAGTATCACATGAGTTTCCATATATCCACACTCTGCCATTAATATCTCCTACTAGGACACACATTAACATTAAGGCTTAATTAAGTCACAATAATTTTGCCCATTCTGATAAAATAGTGTGATTGAATACCTCTCTCAAATTCATTAAGTGGTTCACTTTTCAAGACATGAATCCCAAAAAATATTCAATGTTGTAGCATTAGCTACAGCTTCTAGTTATGAACATTAATAATACTCCTTTAAAATAGAGATAATGGGGCCCGGCGCGGTAGCGCAAGTGGTTAAAGGTCCTCGCCTAGCACGCCCGGGATCCCATATGGGCGCCGGTTCTAATCCCGGCAGCCCCGCTTCCCTTCCAGCTCCCTGCCTGTGGCCTGGGAAAGCAGTCTAGGACGGCCCAAAGCTTTGGGACCCTGCACCCGCGTGGGAGACCCGGAAGAGGCTCCTGGCTTCGGATCGGCATGGTATCGGCCATTGCGCTCACTTGGGGAGTGAATCATCGGACAGAAGATCTTCCTCTCTGTCTCTCCTCTCTCTGTATATCCGCCTTTCCAATAAAAAAATAATAAAAATAAATCTTTAAAAAAAAAATAGAGATAATGTTTTTTACTGATAGGTGGAAATCTTTAACTGCTGTATCATGTTTCCCAGAAATATGTGTATAGTTTAAGGATTGTTTGATCAGATTTATATGATTATTATCCCCTTCTTAGCACTCAGATAAGTAAACTGTAATTTCTTATGTGTCTTAATGTGGTTTATTGTCTCTGTTACTCTGTTTTATTATTTCTGTATTTTTGCAATTTTTAATGTCTTACGTTGCTGTATTTGAAAACTAGATAATAATCATTTAAAAATTTTTGTTAGTAAAACTATATTTCTAGAATTAATAATACAATTTTATCACATAGAATAGTTTTTCGTTGTTTTTTTATTAGTTTGATTTATAACATAAAACCTGCTAACAAAATGAAAATTTAGTCTAGTTTTGTTTTCTCAAATATTGATTGGAGAGATACATGGAGCCAGAGACATGGAGAGTGAATGAGTGAGGAAAGGAGAGAGAGAAGAATCAGCGTTGGATCTGCTGATCCATAATTAAATGATTGCAGTAGCCCAGGTTGAGCCAAGCCTAAGCCACGCTAAAACTAGGATCCAGGAATATCACCTGCTATTCTACTCAGGAGGCAAACGCTCAAGCAATTGGCACAACTTGAGTTTGCCTTCCCAGAAACATCAGCAAGAAGCTTGATTTGACAAGAGATAGTCAGGACTCATCTGGATGCCAGCCAGCACAGGATGTCAGCATTGCAAGTAGAGGCTTAACTCGTTGTAACACAACATTGATTGTGTACAAATCAGAAATACTAGTGCTGTTATATAGTGGATCTTTTTGGTTTTTTTTCCCCCATTTTCTATAATGTTTTGTGTACTATATGTGAAAACTAGATTTCAAATTGAATATGATTTTATAAAGGCCAGCTTTGCTTAGTTTGGTCATAAAATGGAAAAATATTGAAGATGGTAAATAAGACTATGAAAGAAGGCATAATTGTTTGTTGTAAGTTCATTCATTTACTTAAAAGGCAGACTAAGAAAGAAAGGGAAGGAGAGACAAAAAAAGAGAGAGAGCTGTCATCCACTGATTCACTCTTCAAATGCCCAAAACATCCAGGGCTACCCCAGACCAAAACCAGCAGCCCAGATGACCGAGTCCCCAACATGGGTGGCAGAAGCGTCAGCACTTGAGCCTCGATTTGTTGTTCCCTGTCCCTACTGCCAGGATATACATTACCAGGAAGCTGAATCAGAAGCAGGGTAGCAGAGTCTGCACTCAAAAACTCAGGAGATGGCAGTGTCCCAAGAAGCAACTTAAAGACTGTAGCACAACACCGACCTCCACTGGCTGTTTTAGGAGGAGTTTGTTTGTTTGTATGAAATTCTGAAAAATCAATGAAATGAGATCAATTTTATACCTCTAAAATTCATCAGTGACAGAAAATTAAGAGATTTAAAAGAAGCAAACTCGATTTCATAAAGTGCTACTGTGATTTTTAACCATTTGTGTCTGAATTCTCTATTCAAATATCTGTTTATAGGACTTTCTGTATATTAAGTATTCTACCCATCATCTCAGGTTCCAAATGAAACCTGAAATATTTCCTCACAGTTTTAGTTTCATGATGTGACTTGGCAAAAGAGAAAGCATTTGAGATGCTTCGTAAATTTGGAGATTCTACATATCCTTAGCTAGCTTTCCATTGCCTATGATTTTGATTCAGTGACTTTGGAAGCTTCAAGTGCCCTGGAATCCCCTACTGACATTAACGATGCCGGTTCATGCAGCTCTCCCCAGAGACTGTGGTACAGTAAGCCACAGGGACTCACTGAAACAAGTACCCTCGTGATTCTCATTCATTGGATTAATGTTTTCACCTAATGAGATGGAAACTATGAATGAATAGAAAGTGCTCATGGTCATCAACTAGAAACAGTATAGCCTGTTAGTATGTTATACTCTGTTTCACTATCAAATTCATACTCATTGTTAATAAAAGCATCTAGAAAGCATTACAGATATTTTATGCAAAGGTATTGTAAGCACTTATAGTAACACTGAATATAATAAGTTAATAGCAGAAAAAAAACAGTCCTATCAGATTTCCTTACTCCAGATTAGATAAAGGTTTTTAAAAATTATTATTTTGATTCTTAGTCTTCTACTTCAGATAAATGAACTGTTTTTGCTGTAAAGGCAATCATATGTGGCATTTTTTTTCCTTGCACATATACTTAACCATTTTTTTAATTTAACTTTAGAGCAACCATCTAAACCTGAAATTGTAAGCAAAGCACCATTTCTTGAAACACAGCAGCTACAAAAGGTAAGACCTTGTTTATGATGGCGTTTACTGGCTCTAGTGTTAAATGCTTGCCTCAGGCTTCAGCTACCGAGATAAATAAAGTAGACTTTATTCCTGTGGACCTGACTATGCTGCAGGTGCCAACGCAGAAGGGTGCAAAGTGACTTCAAGGATGATGTGGTCACTTCTGAAAGCAGCAGTCTTTCTTTTCTGAGTTCATTGAATACTTAATAATGTCATGAAAGACACACAGACTTTTTCCAGGCCAAAGGTAGAAAAATAAGGTAACACATCTGGACAAAATCTAGTTTTCACAATGTGGAAATTTTGGTTGCTATACAGAAGGCAGGAGAGAGCAATAAGAGATAAATACAAAGAAGTAAATAAAGGCTAGTCATGCAACCCTTAAATGCCTCATGGAGAGTTTGAATTTTATTCCATTGACGTATTACACTTATAAAATGCTGAAGTAAAGGTGTGAGCACATGAGCACAGGTGTGAAGCTGTTTTGAATTGGGATATCAAGCTAGTCTTCTATTTCAGGCACAATTAAGTAATAGTTTCATTTTTTTTGCAAATTAGAACTCATACATTTTCTACGGGAAGGTAAAATTCCAAATCTGCAGCTCTTTTAATAATATTGTATTTGATTACATGATATGTAGTAAACATCAAATGGTAAAGTGAAAATACATTTGGAGAAAGTTTTGGAAATTAGTAAATATGGTCTCTAAAGCACATTGTATGAAACTGGCGAGACAGCCCTACTTTAATATTGAAGCTGGCATCTGAAGATCTATGAAACACGCTAATACTGTTAATGCAACTCTGTTGTTTGGTTAATGTTAAAGATGAATACAGTCGAAGTAAATATGGTTGTTTCAGAGAGAACATGATTTTATTTATAACAGCTGCAACTATTGTGTTTGTAAAGGTGTAGGCTCTATATTTAAAGTCTTATTTTTATTTAAGGGTACATGTGTTCAGTATTGTGTAACAGAGATTCAAAAAGCTTCCATATTCCCTCAACACTCTGGACCTTCCAAACTGACAACACTGTTTGAATTCTGGTACAAATGTTTCCCATTTATTTCACAGTTGGGTGATTGCATTTCAAAAGACAGTTACCCAGAGGGCAACATCACATGGTACAGGAATGGAAAAGTGCTACAACCTCTGGAAGGAGGTGAGTGTGAAGTGGGCAGTATATTCAAATGACTTGTTCTGACCTTAATCTCTTACTGCAATATTCTTTAAATTTTCTAAAGTCTATGTTGCCCTCTTTTGAAGTTTTGTTACTAGAACATTTACTAAATCATTAAGTGGTGTTTAAACATTTTAGCCCTTGTGCAGTAGAGTCAAAAGCAGAGATTACTTCTGTGTATGCATGTTCTAGAAGTTAATAATTTAACTGAGTGGGAGATGGGATTTCAGGATTTTATTTCTTTTTATGTCTCTGATTCATGGCTTTGAGTAGACATTCTGCCTGGCTGTGTGTCAAGTTTACTCCTGTAAAATACATTTAGAAGGACAAACCCACTTCTCAAGGATGCTGTGATGTTTAATTAAGGATTATGATATTCCACTTAAAGATCCTATCATTGATGTTCTTTATTTTCCTCAGCTGTAGTCATCATATTTGAAAAGCAAATGGACCCAGTTACTCAACTCTATACCATGACCTCATCGCTGGAGTATAAGACAACCAAGGCTGATATACAGTCGCCGTTCACCTGCTCTGTGACATATTATGGGCCATCTGGTCAGAAAACTGTTCATTCTGAACAAGCAGTCTTTGATATATACTGTAAGTAACTCAGGATATGACCACATAATTTCATTGTGCTAAAGTGCTATTATCCAAATGTTTTTATTGTTATTCAAAATGTTTTATTTATTTGAAAGTAAGAAATACAGAGAGAAGGAAAGGGGTACAGAGAAAGAGAGAAAGAGAGAGAGATCTTTATTCTGCTGGATTATATCCCAGAAGACTGCAACAACGAAGATTGTGAATTTTATCTGGGTCTCCTAATGGGTGGCAGGAACCCAAGCACTTGTGTCATCTTCCACTGTTTTCCTAGGTGCCAGCAGGGAGCTGGATCAGAAGTGGTATAGTTAGGACAGACATGAACCAGTGCCCCTATGGGAGACTGGCTCCATGTAAGGAGATTTAAAACGGTTGTGCCACAAAATTTGCTCTGTGTTCTTTGATTCTCAGATGATACCAAACTCCTCCCTAAACTCACAACATCCAAATTATTTCTTCTTCCTTAGGAGACATAGTTTACCTATCTTACAATGTTTTTTCTCACTCCATCCGTGTCTCTCTTTCTCTCTCTCTCTCAGAACGTTTCTTCTAGAGGCATTCTTCTAGAGGTTTCTTTAAAGATAAAAACCCCTAGCTTGCTTGATTTCTTCGAGTAGTCCTCCCCCAATATGAATGTTGTAGTAATTCAAAAGCCCCATAATCATTTTTGAATAAATGAGAAGTACAGACAGCTAACTGAATGACTTTCTAAATAAGACATTATCATTTTGATGGGAACACACTGCAATATTGCATACATTTTTAAAATGTTTTAATATTATTATTATTTTCTGTACTATGGTTTTGCATATGTAGGATTCTCCCCAACTGCTCCTCTCCCATCTACCCCATTTTTCTTCCCCACCATTTTATTGTGGCAGTATAGTCATTTAGTACCAGTTACAAGTTTAATATTCTGCTATTTAAATTTATCATGATACTTTAAGTATAGTCAATAGAAGAAAAGGTAGTATCAAATTGTCAGGATATATTTAGGGGTTCATTGGGAGTCTTCCTTTTATTTGGGAGTAGAGATACCTATTGTGATATATCTTCAGTTCATGATATCCCAGCATGCTAGTCTCCATTACAAGTTCATCTATAAGAATATATGTACATATTGCATTTTGCATGAAGGTTGCCTTATATCAGAAAGCCTTTGGGGACTGACTTATCTCACTGAGAGATCTCAATTGGAGCCATTTTGCCGCAGATGGTGGCATTTCATTCTCCTTAGTATGGTATTCCATGGTGTAATTCCAGTTTCTTTAGATCTATTCCTCTTTCAATGCATATCTGGGTTGTTTCCATGTCTTTGCTATTATGGATTGTGCTGCTATCCATATAGGGATGCAGGTTACTTTCTCATATACACATTTCATTTCATCTTTTAAGAAACGGGTGTGAAAAATGAGCATTTTCATAAGAACAAATTTAAATTATTAAAAAGATATGAAAAATGCTCAAGTTCCCTAGCTATTAGGGAAATGCAAATTAAAACTGTGTTAAGGTTCCAACTTACTCCAGAGAGAATGGTCTTCATTCAGCAATCCTGAGGACTAGTACAATGACTCAATTGACTAATCTTCCTCCTGAAAGCACTGGCATCTTGCAAGGTCACTAGTTTGTGTCCCAGTTTCTCCACTTCCCATCCAGCAACCTTCTTGTTGCCTAGGAAAGCAGAGGAGGCTGGCAAAAAGCCTTGGGACCCTGCACCCAAGTGGGAGACCTGGAAGAAGCTTCTGGTTCCTGGCTTTGTATCAGCTCAGCAGCAGCTGTTGAAGCCATTTGGGGAATGAACCAGCAGAAGGAAGAGCTTTCTCTCTTTTTCCTTCTCTCTGTTTGCCTTTCCAATGAAAAATCCTTAGGACAAATTCATAATATCAATACACCTGCTGGTGTAGATGTGGGGAAAAAGTTACCTTACTCCACTGTTGGTGGAAGGGTAGACTGATGCAGCTACCAGTAGAGTATTGTATTTAAAGGCAGCGTAGTAGATCATCTGATAGGTTAAAAACACAGAATATTATGCCACAAACAAAAGCTAATGGCTGTCTGTTTTACCTTCACTAGTAAGCCTGGTCATGGACACTTGCCCTAAATTAGAGTTATCAGAATTGAGTATTTTGCCTACTGCTGTGCTCTTTCTAGGTGCCAAGAGAATTTGTAATGATCATGCACAAGGAAGCTAATATCCAGCCCCAGTGGTACCAAACATGTGTTTTTTGAAAAGTAGCATCATTATTCTACATCTCAGTTTTCTTGTCTTGAAATAGGAAAACTAATACGTAATTCATGTTGCTTTGGGGATTAAGTGATATCACAAATGTGAAATAGCCCACTGCATCACACATTAAATACTCATTATTAAGTACTGCTATCATTACCATGCAATCATTATCACTGCATGAACATGAAGCTAGAGAATGTTTTTTCTGAGGAAAAAATGTAATAAAGGAGTGGATAATTATTATCATTTAAAATGAATAAAAATTCTTATAATGCTATATGTTATACATCTCGTCTAGAGAAAAGGTGGAAATACCAAGTGAGGCTTTGGAGGATTTTGTTTCATATATACTCCTTTTTAGGTTCCCTGAGGTGCAAAATCTTATACATGAGCAAAGCTGAAATTATATATTCATCCGAAAACTAAAGGACCATTTGCCTTAAACTTAGTAAACAAGCTTTAACTTGATTTAAAAGCAAGTAACTAAGGGTATTTTGTGAGGTTTAACTTATCCAAAATTTAACTTTTTTTAGTTACTGAAAGCAAAATTCCTTCTGTGCAAAATGTTCACTTGGCAATAACCCAAGTTGACAAAAACTCAAGGTGAATGTAGAGAATTGGGGACTCCATCTAAGAAAGAGTAGGAATAGAATAGTTTTAGCTTGCAGAGTTGAATGGGAGGTAAAAACCTCGGATACGTAAGAATGAAATGGTTTTACTGTGGCTGGCATTTGACATGGCTTTCGAGAAGACTCGATATACTGGCCATCATGGAGAAGATACAAAGGGATGTAACACGTAGTCCTAACATCCAAAGAATTTTCTACTTCAGGGGGAGATGAAACTTTCATAGGCAAAGGAAATTTCCAAGGCACGTTGTAAACAGCATAGGAACTCAGTGAAGAATCTAGAGTTCAGGGACACTGGGACACTGACTGTCAAGCAGTGCACAGAACCTGTCAGAACTCACACTCCTGGATCTCACTTGGGTTTTTAATCCAGTGGAGGTTGTGGTTGTCATTTCACATGTATAACAACTCCCCCAATGATGCTAATAATGCTCTTGTGATAGGCTACCCTGGAGAACCACCACTCTGAGAAAACTTCAGAGAAGGGAAGGACACAGCTAACTGCAAATGATACATTCAAGAAACAAATATCATTAATTCCTCTTGAGAAAACTTGAAAAAAATGTGCTAGTCTAGTGCCCAGTTTTTTGTTTGTTGTTTGTTTTGTTTTGTTTTTTAAGAATTACTTATTTTTATTGGGAAAGAAGTTATGCAGAGAAGGAGATACAGAAAGATCTTCCATTCTCTAATTCGCTTCCCAAGTGGCCACAATGACCAGAGCCGAGTTAATCCAAGCTAACATGAAGCCAGGAACTAGGAGCTCCTTCTGGGTCTCCCACGCTGGTGCAGGTTCCCAAGGCTTTGGGTTATCCTCTTCAGCTTTCCCAGGCCATAGGGAGAAAACTGGATGGGAAATAGAATGACTGTGACACAAACCAGCACCTGTATGGAATCCTGGTACTTTCAAGCAGAGGATTTAGCCACTGGGCCACCATGTTGGGCCCAGTCCAATCCTTTCTTACTCCACCCAGTCAGAAAAGAAGTTTCAGAGAAACTGGCTCTTTAATCTTTGTACCTGATTTCTGCCTCTGCCCATTCTTATGCCACCAATCCTCATTTCTTCTACAGTGATTTCCAAAACAGTGTTCCTGCTACCAGCCCACCCTTCTTTGCTCACCCCAATTAGAGTGCCCTGCACACTGCTGCCAGAACTATCACACTATCACAATAAATGGGATGGTGTTAGTGCTGGCTAAATTCCTCAGTGATTCACCAGAGCTTTTATTAGTCTTCATACATACAACTGTAGTTTTCTTAGAGTCTCTTTCTGTCATGATCCTGTATTATTTCTCAGTTGTCGCATTAAGCTAACTGGGGTCTGTTGTTCTTTCCAGTTTCCTCCTGTAGAATATTACTTTTATGTATGCCCACACATTGTCATTTTTGTGTCCCTATAATCTAGTGAACACTCACTTACTCCTCAAAACTTGACTCCAAGTGATATGGATTACCCACCCTGCCTCTCACTTTTCCCTCCTTCCCTAATCCTACATAATCCTGTTCACCTGTCAAACAGCCCTTTCCCCAGGGTTTCTCTCTCTTTGCCTCGTTTCACCACTCACCTTTTATCCTTATAAATGAAACTTTCAAGTGGGAGGGACTCCCCTGTTTTCTGATATCTGGACAAGGCAAAGTGCCAATTCTCCCCCTATTCCTCCCTATACCTCTTCCTTCCTCATCCACAGGACTCCTGAACTATGTGTGTGTTTGCTTTCTCACTTTTAAAATAAATTCACTGCTTTCTGCACCATATATGTGTCTGCACATTTTAAATCTTTAAAGATTGGGATTGTTTTAAGTATTTTCAGAATTATGGTAATACTGATAATAGTAATACAAAAGGTATAGTTATGAACGGGCAGAAAAGATATTCAAGGTAAGAAACAAAATGAAATTTGATGATAGTGCTTCATGTGTAGGTTAATTTGGGCCCAGACTAAAGAAATGCTGGTAGGAATAAAAGGAGAGATTCAAATGCAACTTATTAACCATTAGCACTTGGTTATTGAGTGTGTACAAGGGGACAGAGGTGAAAGCCAGAATGGTGAATTCCTAAGAGAGTAAAATTCAAAGTCAAAGGCGAAGGGAGAGCAAGAGAGCATTAATTTCTGTTGTAGACACAATAGTGGACATTTTAAAGGTTACTGTTCAAATGCAAATGTGTTGCAGTAGCTTTCTGATCACAGTTTAATTCTTCAGCCACCTAATATAGAGCAGAGAATACTAAAGAAGGAGTACAACAGGAATAGAAAGATTATAATCCCTGCCCTTCCAGTGTAGGACATGAAATGTGATGAGTTACAGGTCAATCTCAAGAACTAGAGAAGAATCACATGGAAGGGGAGGAAGATCCAGGAATAGATAGTGTGTGACACACCAATGTCAAATTTTATTCAGCTTTTCAGCTTTTCTGGATGTTGTGAAAGAGGCCCAGAACAGAGATGAGGTGGTTCCAAGGTCACAACAGAATGAACTTATTAAAGATATATGTGCGGCTTGCATATGGAGTAAGCATGTGACAGAGAGCCCTGGATCTTATATAGCTAGAGGGATTTTGGGGTGCAGAAAGGAGAACAGTGGGCAAAGCTGAGGTGGTTTTTCCAATTTAGTATACCAGGTAGTTGGAAAGGAATACAGAGAATGGGGTGGGAAACAGTACATGGCTTGAGTTTGAACTGGTTCTTGAAATTTAGGGGAAAGAGTTCCTAGGGAATTGGGGCTCTGCTTTGAGGCAGGGAGTTCTAATGACTGAAGAGCTAAAATGGCTGAAGTTTGTGTCTCTTCTTCCATCACTGTTAATTTGCTGGAACCAGGGATATTTAGAACAATAAATTAGGCCAATCCAGAAAAAATAAACAAGTATACAGAAACAGTTACTCCTCGGCTTTATCTATTCTGGAGGGGAGGCAAGCACTGTGATGTTACTGGTAAAGCCATTGCTTTGTGACTCCAGGATCCCAAATGAGTTCTAGGCCTGGGTGTTCTTCTGATCCAGCTCTCTGTTAATATGCCTAGAAAGCCAGCAGAGGATGATTCAAGTCCTTTGAACCTTGCACCTTTGTGGAGACCTGAAGGAATGTTCTGCTCCTAACTTCAGTCTTGCCAAGGCCTGGTTATTGGAGTTCCTGGGGAAGTGAACCAGTAGAGAGAAGAGGCTCTCTTCTCTTGTTCTCCCTCTCTCTCTGTAACTCTGACTTTCAAATACATAAGATGCATATTTAAATAAAGGTAAAAGAACATTTTGAGTGCAACTTGCAACACCAGCGTCGCATGTCTGGGTTTAAGTCCCAGCTAATCCACCTGTGACCCTGCAGCCTGTGAATGCTTCTAGTAAGGCAGTACTAGGATTTATGCCACTCTTGTGAGATTGAATTCTTGGCTCCTGGCTCCTGGCTCCTGGCTTCAACCTGGCCTAGGCTTGGCTGGTACAGCTATTTGGCGAGTGAATCAACATTTGGAAAATTTCTTGTCTCTTCCCTTCCCTATTTATCTATCTTCGAAATAAATCTTGTTAAAAAGCAAAATAATATTCTGGGCAGTTAAATATTTAGGAATATCCAACTTAGCATAAAGAAAACTCAAACAAACGTTTTCTGCACTTTTATTCTAGAAAGATGAACAAATACTATAAAAAAGCTTTACTTTAAAAATTCTAAAACTACTGATTGCTGGGTTCACTTGTTAGGTCTTCGTAGATCATTCAAGTGCTACCAATTTGAAAATACAGAAACTTGCCTCAGCAGTTGCTAAGTCTTGTGGAAAAGCTTCTGTAAACCAACCCTAGATATTATATAATTTCAGAAGTCATTGTTTATTGTGTTACCAAACTATACAACGATAAAGTGGGTCATTTATAACTGCTAGCACTTCCTTTGCTACACATGGTCCGTTGTATACAGGTTTAATTTTTCTAGCATTCTGCTGTTGAGCAGTAGCCTGTACCAAAAAATGCTCATCAGCGCTGTTTTCTTTGTAAAAATGACCAAAACGGAATGAAGGTTGCATTTTGGCTTCATTGGACGAGACAGAATTATATTACATTCACAGACGGTTGATTGTGCTAAGAGTGTCCTCAGTTCACAGAATTCATTTTTTAAAATCATATCTACTCTCCTGCATGCTAAACCTTTTTTTGGCATTGCTTAGCCCATGTTTCTCATTTCATTTAATATAGGGTATTATATTTATTATCATATGAGTGCAGTGGTATTGAATAACTTCAGCAATTTTTGCAAGCTGGTTTAGTCTTAAGAGTCGCATAACATATTTAAACATCTTTATAATAAAACCATATGGTTAGATTGTTCTTACTAGTCTTTTATACACAAAATAATTATAGTTATTCTTACCTCATTTTGCGAAGAAGAAATTGAGTTTTTATATAACAAGGTCTCTCTGTAGTTTTCTGTAACTAAGATTAGTCCTCAGTATAGTAAGTGGCTATTAACTTCAATCCTTCTATAAAAAGATGCATTTAAGTAATTACCAGCTCTAGCTTCTTGAGAAAAAAGTGTATGTAATTTAGCCATTTACGTTGTACGCACAGAGCAATTTGGTACTTTACAAAAATGGTTAACCTGTGTCTGACTCTTGTAGATCCTACAGAACAGGTGACAATACAAGTGCTGCCACCAAAAAATGCCATCAAAGAAGGAGACAACATCACCCTTACATGCTTGGGAAATGGCAACCCTCCACCTGAAGAGTTTTTGTTTTACTTACCAGTAAGTAGTTATATTTTACTTGAACTGAACCACTACCATTTTGTCCTATTGCTTAACATCTGGCTAGCATTCAGAATTGTCGAGATGGAATGTTGTTCTTACAGATCAAGGACATTATCTGTAGAATGTCCTTTGATATGTTTTAGCGCCTCAAAATGTTATGTTTTTGTTTTCTCAAACTTAAGAGATTTCAGAAACAGGGAAAAAAACTGGTTGCACGAAACTATAATTGCAAAAATTGAAAATTTAATTATCCAAGTAAGCAATGAGAGTCTTAATCTGTAGAAACATATAACTATGAAATGGGAAATAATAACAGCAACTGATCTGGTATCAGTTTTAAATCTATCCATAAGGATGCCCTAAGCCCACGTCTCATCTTCTGAAGTAGGCATAGTTCTGATTCTCAGTATGAATATATTTGGTTTGATGAAATAATACTGTGGGCTATTCCTTCTTACCATATATTATCTTGAAGTGACAGCTTCTCAGCTTAATTCATGTCATTGCTAAATTCAATGATGCATAGAGGATGCTTTGGAAAATCCCTGTAGCTTGTGCCTGGGATATCATAGTGGTACGGGACTAGAGTAGGAAAGAGCTGTGTCTGGAGATACTCATTTGCTCTCTCAGTTATGTTTCTGACATCAGCTTTGCATGGAGAGATGTACTGGACCAGTATAACTCATTATGTTTACTACAATGATGTAATTACTAAATGTATTCATTACATTGTTCAGTAGTATTAAAAATGTCATTCACTATGTTACTCAAAACACTAGAGTAAGTAATTTCTCATACATTTAAATTCTAACAGAAAGTTGCTTCTCCTAATAAGTGGAGGTGCTGTTTTTGTCTCATTTGGAAATCGTGAAACTAATTGGGTCTCCACTTTGGTTATCAGGGATGATAGAGCCATATTTATGCCTCAATTTTAGCAATAATATCTGCTGATTATCTTCTGTTAGCATACGTATCTACACATACAAACCTACTTCATCTACTTTTTCTATGCTTAAGTTATTGTTTCATTTTGCTTTTCATTCTATCTTTCTTCCCCTCTACTCTCGTTCATGCTTTGTCCTAACTCTTCCATTTCTCTTTCTCTTTCTCTCCATCCATCCATTTTCACACCTTCCCTTCCTGCCTCCCTCTTTCTTCTTCTGTTTTCCTTTCTAATTTGAATATGTAGCATGTTTATTTTAGATTACCTCATATATTTTTACCTAGTTAAGTAGAACACGAATATGAAAATTTGCCATAAAATTAAAATGCAAACCTATCCTTTTGATGCATGGTAAGTGCTACAGAAGTAAGTTTCTCGAATACCTTGAAATCAGAATGTTGATTATTTCCCCAATTATCAGATGCAGGCGCCAGAAACTGAATTGCTTCTGTTCATGTGAAAGAATATCTTCCCCCCACCCTTTTTTTTTTTTTTGAGAAAATGCCGCCTTTATCAAGAAATGCAACTGCTCTTGTTATAGTTACCAAGTTTAAATCACCTGACATTTTGCCTCTATCAAAAGGGACAGCCTGAAGGAATACGAAGCTCAAATACTTACACGTTGACAGATGTGAGGCGCAATGCGACAGGAGACTACAAATGCTCCCTGATCGACAGAAACAGCATGATTGCCTCAACAGCCATTACAGTTCACTGTAAGTCACTTTCTTCTTCATTACCAGCTTCACTTCAAAGTCCTTTAATCGTTGCATGCAGCTATCTCTTCAAATAAATTGCACCTATATCTTTGTTAAATGACTTGTTTTCAGTAGTCTCAGTAAGGAGTTGAGGTTTGCTCTGGAATATTGACACTTTACATGAACCTTTGCTGGTGATAAACCTTTAAATGTCTTAAAATTATGGTATTCATAAACCATGTTAATGTAGATCTTAAAGAAATAGATTTCTGAATGTTTGAAATATGTAAGTATACAACATTTGCTATTGGCCAGAGAAATTTAGATTAAATATCTTTTAGTACAGTATATACTAATTCAGGCAGCACAAAAATCAGTGTAGACTTGGATTTTGGAAGAGGATGTATAAATGATTTGAAACCAGCCAAATGTACTCTATATGGAAGTGCAGTAAATATCTAGGAACAGAACATCTTTGAAATTAACTTAAGCATAACTTTTTGTTGCCTTTTAGATTTCTGTTGCTATCTAGACTCTCTAAAAGCAGTATTTTCTGCTGTGTGATGGGAAAAGAATCACATAGAAAAGAGGTGCCCAACTTATGATTTTAATATGTAATTAATGATAGTTTGTATGCTCAATCTCTTACTCCTTCATGGAAACAAAATGTCATTCACAGTACTCCTTGATGAGACTAGAATTTACTAAGTGCCTTAGAAAAGCGACAGTATTGCCAGGAACTGTAGGCCCCTATCCCAGTATGGTTATTGTGCTCAACAATATCAACATTCCCTAGGTATGAGCCTCTAAAATTTCATTAAGGAAGAGGTGTTTTAAAATTAAGACACAGTTTAGATGTTGTCATGAGTGCATGATTCTTAGCCTTTCTTCCACACTTTTTTGAAAACAGACAGTATAGAAGCTAAAAGTTTGAGCTATAAGAGTGTGTTGAGAAATAAAGCAACTAGATGACTATATCATGCTGTCCTGATGTTGAGAGCTTGCCCTAGAGAAACCTGGATAAACAGTGGACTGTTAATACATGTTTACAGCCATTTCTGTGTTCCATATTCATGTTGTTTAGGTCTGAACATTTCATCATCAGAGGCTTCTCACAGAAAAAGTAGTGACTATTCATGACATTAAGAGTGGTAATTTTTCTCTGAAGAGCAGTTATTCATGGGCACATTTATCCAAGCCTGTTTCATGAGAAAAAGTAAAAGTAGTGGGATAGGTCTGTGGTGGCACTGTTCATGATGTCTTTGGACCAATGACTGATATCTAGTACCTTAAAGACACGAAAATATGTGTAAGAGATGCTGGGTAGAGAGGATCTTAAAAGCATATGCCTCTTACTTGTATTGCTTGTAGGTAAGGCACAGTGAGAGAATTGACAAGACAAAAATGTGATTGCAGCCAAACCTTGCCTTAATGATTTGTTGTGATGGTGGGTGAGTTGAAGAAATCAAACAAAAGCATTAAACAATTTATTTTGATTTCATTGCAATTAATTAAATTGAAATCCAATTTGGTCCTGACAAGTAGACTGTAACAGCATGTCTTTAGGACCCACATTGTTTTGCAAAGCAGAAAAATGCCTGCAAGTATATCAACATTTGCCCTAAGTTATAGGAAAACACGAAAATTCTTTATCTGCCTTTTTATCTTCAAATGTCAGCTTTCCAAAAGCAGAATGTGCTTTCTTTCCATGTGTGGGTAGAGAAGCACCAGCGCATATCTGCATACATTGTAGAGCAACCATTTCATCAAATCTTGCCGGAAGACAGCATGGCTAATGAAACAGCCACTGCCCTGTGTCAAAGTATGCACATGTAGATTCTCACTAGAACTTTCCATGTTCATTATCACCCTCTTTGATCTTCTCACTCTTGATCTAATTGTCCAGCTACCAAGAGCTTCCAATGTGTACTGAATAAATTTTTTTCTAAGGGCACTTCAAAAATTTCACAGAAAATGAAACCAAGCATTAAGTTTATTTTTGTGAAGAAATTTTCCAAAACACATCCAAAATTTTCTTGCAAGAAACATTTTCTACAAACTTGCTGAGGATTCCTCATCTAGTTTATTCCAATGTTCTTAAGAAACTCCTTTTCTGTGTATTATTTTAATAATAATGAAAAACTGAGAAAGCATATATTTTTAATTTATTTCTTCAGCCTATCATGTGCCAGATAATGTGAACACCCAAGTGACAAACCTAAGTGATAAGAACAGTCTAAGAGGAACAAATATTACAAACAATTCACAAACTAGAATTATATTATTAACATAAAGGAAAAATAGAGAGCCTGGCATGGTAGCATAGTGGCTAAAGTCCTCACTTTCCATGCCCAGGATGCCGTATGGCCGTCGGTTTATATCCCAATGGCCCTGCTTCCCATCCAGCTCCTTGCCTGTGGCCTGAGAAAGCAGCAGAGGACAGCCCAAAGTCTTGGGACCCTATACTAGTGTGGGAGACCCGAAAGAAACTCCTGGCTCTTGGCTCCTGGCTCTGGATCGGCTCAACTTTGGCCCATTACAGCTACTTAGATATTGAACCAGTGGATGGGAGATCTTCTTCTCTGTTTCTCTTTCTCTGTGTATCTGATTTTCCAATAAAAAATTTAAAACAATCTTTTAAAAAGGGGAAAATAGAGTTTAATGACTTATTCCATCCCATAGAATGAAATCCCAACTTCTAACATGGCCTCAATTAATTTAATGATTTTTATATTCTATAAGTTGTCATCACTGATACTAGATGCCTTATCATTGTGAAATCTGCCAAGCTTTTCAACTCCTTCCCTTTGCTTATGTGGCAAAAGTATGCCCTTGACCTTCACTCATCGGGCACATCTACATAGATAGCCTCCTATGCAGAGCATTTATGATTGTTTTGAAAGTCAGTCTGCCTCTGTTCTCTATACTCCCGTAAGTGTTTGTTTGAACCTGTGTTTGTAACCCTGCATATTTCAGCGAATATTTACTGAGCTGGCAGGCTGTACTAGGTTTAAAATTAGGTTCCTATTTCATAGGGCTTATATTTATAATAGTCAGTTGAGTGTATATAACCTCTACAACATTAAATTGTAACCTCATTATTCATTTCTATATCTCCCATCAGTGTTTGGGATGCAGTAGCTATACAGTTATTATGTGTTTTATGGAATTGGACTTTCCACATACGGCTCATACTAAACCATAAGATCTTTAGAAAAATTATTTGCTATATGAAAGACATCTTAAATGTGTTTGTGCTGCTTTTTAAAAATAGTATCTGCTGATAGGACACTTAACAAGAGATCAGCTAAAATTGTAACTATGTGAGAAATGAAATAGTAGTTTTAAAAAATAATACCACAGCCAATTTTCTTTTGAAGAAACACCTAAACTGTCTTATGGTTTTTCAGTTTATCACTTGCTGTCTAAATATACTGGATTTTCTGACTTTCTGCTGTAACAACTCTTTTTATAATATTCATGTAGTCAGCATTTTTATTTTCTTTCAGAAGTGATTTAAGAATATTTTCCTTAAGGTGATAGACCCTAGGGAATTATTTATTTGCACTCAAAACATCAGTGGTGTTAACTGCAAATAAATGCATGCTCAATTAGATTGTCCATTGATTTACCCAACTGGTTCAAAGCTGGCTTGAAACACCAGGCTGATTATGCTCCAGTTCACTTATTTCCGTCACAAAAATCAGTTCTAAATGTTCAAGTACAGTTAGAAGGATTTTCCCTTTCGTCTTTTCATCGCCAGTGTATTTTGACTGTCTTACTTTCTTCGAGTTTGCATTTCAAGTAGATTTTCTGCTTCACAGATTTGGATTTGTCCTTAAACCCAAGTGGGGAAGTGACCAAGCAGATTGGCGATGCCCTGCCTGTGTCCTGCACAATATCCGCAAGTAGAAATGCGACTGTGGTGTGGATGAAAGTAAGTAATGATTTTGGTACTCTGCTAATATTTGAGCTGACTTCCTTTTAGATTTTCTTTTTATTGTATGTTGTATTCAAATATATGTGTTCACCAACAATACACCCAGACTTAGGCTGTCTCTCTTTTTCATTGTAATACCAAAGAAACTACATGAAAACTTTTGAGGTACTCAGTACTAGTGTGGTATTCATGGCTGATGCTTTCTTTTGGGCTACTACTTTAATTGTACGTGTGTACTGTGTAATTTTATACATGTGTACACACACACATGCAGATATGCACATTAGAGCTTATCAATTTACAATGTGTTTTTAGATCACATTAGGCTCACACGATTCTTATTTCAGCCCTGTGAAACCCTAGGTCATTTATTACTCATGATGTAGTTTGACAGCCAAAAGTGATCCTTTCTCCTCCTTGTCAATTTGAATCCTAGCTCCTTTAATCTTCTCATTCTGCTCCCTGCAAATGTACCTGGCAGGTCACAGTCTGTGGACTCCCGCTATGCACACAGGATGAGCTCCTGAATCCTGCCTCCTACCTCACAGAGCCCTGGCTCTTTCTGAGATTTGGAAACTGAACCAGCAAATGGAATCTCTCTCTTTCTCTGTGACTGTTTCTCTTCGCCCTCTCTGTCATTCTGCCTTTCAATCAAATCTATATTTAAATATTTAAAACAAATTAAAAATTCATTCTTATCGTGATTTCCATGGCTCTGTAGTGGATCTTCAGTATTGGTAGCATTATCTATGCAATAGCCTGGCAGTCTGTTACACCCATCAGTGATTTAGAAACGTAAGTCTCCATATGTGGAATCCAGATCATCTCCATCAACTGCAGTTAGAAGGATCTCTCAACTGAGAACTCTTTTTTAATGTAGTTATGGTACATTCTTTATACAATTAAATCTTACTAAGAATTCAGTGTGGCAAAATGGTTCCCCATTTCACAAAGGAAATTAAGTCAAAGAAGTTTATGTACTTGTTCCAACTTATAAATTCAGTAATAGAATTTGAAATTAAGATTCTGCTATGTCTGGTTCTAAAACTGAAAACGACAATCTACTTCGGGAAACCTCTAAACGTAAACAATTTTTTTTCTTTTACCCAGCGGAATAATTTCAGTCTTACTTTAAGGAATAGTTTTTGTTATCATGCCATCTGACTCACTTTCACTTTTACTTAATCAGGACAATATCAAACTTCGATCTAGTCCATCGTTTTCCAGTCTCCAATATCAGGATGCCGGAAATTATGTCTGTGAAACTGCTCTGCAAGAAGTTGAAGGACTAAAGAAAAGAGAGTCATTGACTCTCATTGTAGAAGGTAAATATATTTCTCACCAATACAAATTTTTCTTTGAGAAAAAAAAAGTCTGTTTTATGAGCATGGTTCAACATTATATTTTAATTGTAATGATATTATAGGAAAACCTCAAATCAAAATGACAAAGAAAACTGATCCCAGTGGACTATCTAAAACAATAATCTGCCATGTGGAGGGTTTTCCAAAGCCAGCCATACAGTGGACCATTACCGGCAGTGGAAGCGTCATAAACCAAGCAAGTATTTGTCTTTTTGTTGTGTGCTGCACTTGGTCCGATGGAGAGTTTTATTTAGGTGCCTAAACTACAGAAGGATTGGTTACTGCTTTACATTTATAATACATTCTTTTGAGGAAGCTCTTGCTAACTTCTTAATTGTCCCAAAGAAAGAATATGGCTCAAAAAGAAATTTTAAATGCAAATTCTATGCAGAGTGAAGGAACTCCTGTCTGTTTTTAAAGGAATGTAAATGTGGTGTTTTTCCATGATTGTTGTGTTCTAACACTTGCATGTTGCAGGTACTAAAGTGAATACTTATCTATGTGATTAACTGACACACAGGGATGTAAGCAGATACCATTACTTTGCCTACCTATGCACAGAGAGGGATATCTCTTCCTGAACTGGCTTCGGAGTGTGGGGAGGAGCACAGGCACAGGGGCACATTTGTCTCAATTTCTTGTGATAGAGCTCTGTCTAACCAGAATAAGAAGTATATCTAGGCCATGCTTTTCTAAGCAAAGGAAGATTTGATCAGGCCTTAATATGTTTAACTCTTCAGGACATTTTAGTCCTCGTAAAGGCCTAAGATCTTAACAAAGTATCAGTAATTTTCTACTAATATTGTCTTTAAAACAAAAAGGAAATAATACAAGCTGAGGATATGTGCCTTTGTTAGTATGATTTCAGAACTGTTGATTCTGCCAGATTATCAATATATGCTTGAATTGCTAATCTACTTGTTAATTTCCATTTTGTCTGCTGTGCTCTTCACATCCCCTCTTCTTAGAAGAAATAATGAAAAATTTTAGCAGCACCTAGAGGTGTAATTGGACTATTTCATTATTTCTGGTCTGCCTTCCTCTAACTTTGGATCCAGTTGAAATTCGAGATGTGTATAAAGCAAACACTAGCAAACACCAGACATCCTCTGTCCAGGAAACTGGGTCACAGTTCAGCTTAGGTAAAATAGGTGCATACAGCAAAGTGGATTCTGGTTCCTCCCCCTATTGCTAATACTTACGTATGTTCATGATTTCGGGTACGGGACCCCCTTAAAGGAGCCATCACGCAGGTAGCAAATGACTCCTGACTTGTTCAGGTATGATGGACGTGTGAAGAGGAGACCATGCCAGAGGCTCCCACAGAGGCTCTGGGTGGCTTCAAGGCTAAAGCAAATGAAGTTTCTTGGTTTAAATAACTAAACCACTGGAAATGCCGACAGTGTAAGGATTTATTTTTTAGCATCAAATGCTAAAAATGCAGAAAACTTTCTTTTCTACTCCATCCTTTTTGCTCTGTGGTTCAATTAAGTGATAAGTGCTGCGAACAGGATCCTTCAAGGGCTGGTAATACAGGCTTACGAAATAGAGAAAAAAAAAAGCACACAGCAAATGTGTGAAATGTGGAAGGATACAAAGATTTAACAGACTGTCCCAGAAATAAGTAAATGTACTTTATTAGAACAAAGTAACAAAAACAGTCTTAGAAATTCCATGAAAAACCCTAGGAAGCAGGGGAAGAAGTGACAGGTGAACTTCCATGAGCACAGAAATGATAATTCCATTCTTCTTTCTAAAGGAGAAGGATTGATTCTGACCAATTAGGCGATATGTTGTTTTTCTTGTTCTAAATCTGTACTGATCTATCCACAATCTTTTATTTGTTTCTTCCTCAATCACATGGTGAATCTATCATTTTATAACCATGTGATATCTATATGTTTCCTCCATTCCCCAGGAACAAGTAGGCATCTCATCTTTGTCCTCAAGGTGCTTTGAGTGTAGCTGAGCACAAGCCAAGCAGACAACTGCATAGGACTTGCTGTGTAAAATTGACTGACAAAATAGGACAAATGGGTACTTGCTTCAGCCCTGTAAAATCTGAGTGATGAGATTAAACTCTGTGGTGTCTTGTGTTTTAAGAAATTGATTACAGTGATTGTCCTTCTTAACATGTCGCGAAAATCAGATTTACAAGTAACTAAGAAGACTCCATCCTCTGTATTTAGCACACAAAAAAGTTAACTTCATTTGTCAGTGGGGGAAAATATATATACTCTTACATGTAATGATTCAAGGTGAAGGAATTAACTCCTATGGACAGAAGCAGTAAACTCATAGATAATTATTCATAAGTTAATTGAGGGAGAGAGATAATTAGATAATGACTACCTAATTAATTTGAGGCAGGTACCATCATAACAAAATATTTAGAAAACCTGTTTATCTATTAAAAGTTAACTTAATGTTAAAAGTCCCAGCCGAGGGCCCGGCATGATAGCCTAGGGGCTACTCCTCTCCTTGCATACACTGGGATCCAATATCAGTGCCAGTTCATGTCCCAGGTGCTCCACTTGCCTTCCAGCTTCCTATTTGTGGTCTGGGAAAGTAATGGAGAATGGCACAAAGCCTTGGGACAACATTGCACCTGTGTGAGGAAGCCAAAATAAACTCCTTGTTGCTTGCTTTGGATCGACTCAGTTCTGGCCGTTGGCAGCTACCTGGGGAGTGAACCAGCAGATGGAAGATCTTTCTGTCTCTCCTTCTCTCCGTAAATATGACTTTCCAATAAAAATAATAAATAAATCTTAAAAAGAAAAAAAAAGAAGTCACCGTTGAAGCAAAAGTAATCTCCATTGGGATTTTATTAATTTTTTTCTTACCTGCTCTAGATACAGACAGTGCACATACACAAAAACCCCCACCTGCGCTACAGGGAGCTATGTTTATCCTATATTATGACATATTTTGTTACATATTACTATTTCCTATGTTTATTTCTAAACTCATCTTCCTTCTTCTTCCAGACAGAGGAATCTCCTTACATCAATGGCAGGTATTATAGTAAAATTATCATTTCTCCTGAAGAGAATGTTACGTTAACTTGTGCTGCAGAAAACCAGCTGGAGAGAACAGTAAACTCCTTGAATGTCTCTGCTAGTGAGTATTTCATTTCTAGCATTAAAAAAGTAAGAAAAGTTGAAGTTTTTCTTCATTAGTTTAAAATCTTCAGTTCCATCTTGCTGTACTGCATTATGGTAAGTTTTATTTCTTTGTTTTACATTTGGTATCATCATCATGAGGTTCTTTTCTTTTTTTCCTGGCTTCCATACTTGTACTATCCTTGTCTTGACAGTTAAATCATCTCACGTTTATAACGGAGACACTTTACCCAATCCAAGAGCGATTCCCAACGACAGAACAGGAAAGAGGCTGCTCTCATCTAATCCTTGCTTTGTGTTCAGAGCAGAGCTGAGTCAGTCTGTCTTAGAATATTTTTGTAATAGTATGAAGATCGGTTGGTCCTTAAGCTACATATGTTGCATTCCATTTTTGTGGTAATTTTGCTAGTGTTATTTTGAAAAGAAATATTGAAATCTAGGTCATTTCACACAGTACTATTAGAACTGATACTAAAATTCATAAAATCTGACTTTAAAAATTGGCTCTTTCTTATATAATATTTGAATCATGACCAAAAAAAAATAGATAAATGAACTTATCTGGGAGAAAGTGAAAAAAAACTTGCCATTACTGAAATCAGTTTTACACGTATGTTCTGATAGAAGCTTCTGATGAAAACAGTTGTGATTTAAAGTGAAATTATCTTTCATCTTCAGTTCGTTTTTTGTTCCTAGTGCTGTATCTGTGTTAAATCAGGGCTGCCCTAGAGTGAGGTTCATTCCTGGACAGGATGTTAACTGACTTACCCAACTTTTATCCTTCGCTCCGTCAGAATACTGAATGTCACATCATCAAGCACTGTTAATTGTCTAAAGATGATGGTCCAGAATAGATCGTGACTGGACTGGAAAGGCCTGATGGATTTACAGAAGGGCCAAACAAATTTAATTCTAAAATAGGAGCAGTGACTTCTCACAATGCAATTCCACTAGTATTGATTTGCCCTGCCTGGCAAGTGAACCTATCCTTTTCTTTCCTGAAAACAACTCTATTTTTATTCTAACCAATTGAGGTACTTCAGTTTTCTAGGTAGTGCAAAGCTTGAACACATAGAGCCATTTTCAAATTCAGTGAGCACCTCCAGAGATTACAACTTAGTGTATTTCAGGAGAGATTCAGTCGTACGTCACAGCAGATCTGATGTAGACCATTCGCTCTGAAAACAAGTATGTAGGTTAATGTTACATAGAATCCACAATAGCAGTGAAGTTTAAAGAGAGCAACAAGCATGGCACCATCAGTCATTTGGAGGGCTTTTGAGAGCATTGCATATTGCTTCTGAATCTCTAAGGCCCCCTTAATTTTAACTCCAGCTGCAGTTGCTTTGTGATCCTCTCTATGAAAGGTCCTTGAAAGTAAAAATGAAAATGAATTGTCCTATTTTGAGACAAGTAAAGGCGAGAAACACCAAATCATACACTTCTTCGGTGCCAACTTGTTTTTCTTGTTAAAGAAGTATTGCTGAAAGGTACTAGATAGTGGATAGATAGATTGTTGTGGATTTCAGATGAATAATATAGCTTGTCAGTTATAAAATTTTCTGGGGTAGATTAATACTTTTGTATTCGAACTACTCTTTTGTCTTAAGCATATTTCATTTCTTTATAGGGAAGTTCGTGCTCGGTTAATTGTGATTTTTTTTTTTTTACCCTTAGCTGTAGAATAGCTATTTTATCTTTGAGTATAATAACATCATACTGTAATGGTAAAGGTGACTTTCATATATCAACAAATTTTGTTTTTAATTTCATATTAACATTTTTCATTTCAGTAAGTATTCCAGAACACGATGAGGCAGACGAGATAAGTGGTAGGTACCATGCTGCCGACTTTTTCCTTGACTATCACAGCTCAAGACTTATGCAGTGTCTCTCATGGGACAAGTAATTTTCTCAGCTGTCCACGACTTCTACTTGAATTAAAATGTCAAATGAGACAAGATAGTAAGAATGCTAAAATTTTTGCTCTTTAAAAATCACACTTTGCATGTCAATCACAGTAGTGCGCTTTAGTCACTACTAATAAATAATCACTAGATTTATTTCTATCTTTCTTTAATTCTTGGCATTGTCTATAGTTGCATGGGAATTTCTTTTTTGTTATAGATGAAAACAGAGAAAAGGTGAATGATCAGGCAAAACTAATTGTGGGAATTGTCGTTGGCCTCCTCCTGGCTGCCCTTGTTGCTGGTGTTGTCTACTGGCTCTACATGAAGAAATCAAAGTAAGCCATGAGAAAGAACCTCTCTTGAAATTACTGTGTGTTAATTATGCTCACTCTTCTTGTGCTTGTGATTTCTTTGTTAAGAAAGGTGTAACACCCAAGTCGGGAAGTTATATGTTATTTCAGCTCACAGAAGCCAAGCTGCCAACATCCAGGACGTAGACAACGGTTTGATTTCACATGTGTCTGTGTTGGATTCTGTACCAATAGTCTGAAGTCCAACTACTTGATTTTTTAAGCACCTATTTGATGTTTTTAAGATCATATACTGCCTAAAGATCAACCACTCTGTGATGAGAATAGTAATGGGAAGCTGCTAATACCCCTTAGTGAGATTTTCCAGGTGTCTTTGCATGAACAAGGCCAGAAATAAAACTGTTCATACAGTAGGAGGATCTTGTCATTCCTACCATTCTAGTTACACAATTTTACTGTAAACACAAACGTATTTCAGAGAGGTCTGCGTGATTATTTTTGGCTTAAAATTTTAGAAAAAAAAAACAGATTAAATGAAGTACAAAGGTTACTTTTAAAATGCTTTTAATGACGTAAGATTAAAAATTGATTGGAGTATGTGTTTGGTTTATTAGTTAATCTGTTGCTTGGGATGCCTATTCTATATTGCAGTCTGCGGTTCAACTCTCAGTTCAGCTCTGGATTTCAGCTTTCTGTTATTGGGCACGATGGAAGGCACTAAGTGATGATTCCAGTAATTTGTCACTGCCACACCCTGGGGAAACCTGAACTGAGTTCCTAGCATCCAACTTCTCTGACTCAACGTCTGCCTTTGCAAAAATTTAGAGTAGTGAGCTAGGGGATGGGCATTTTCTTGCATGCTCTCTTTTTCTCTATTAAACAAAATTTTAAGAACTAACGATCTTATTAAAAATTTTAGTCATATAATAGTGTAGACCATATTGACTGTAAAAATCATGTAAGAATATTTTATAATGTTTTGATGAATGAATACGGGGTTTAATATACATACATGCCAAATACTTATAAATCACCCCACTTCCAACCCTGGATTAGGATGGCTTTAGATAGAAGTGGAGTTTGTAGGATTTCCATTCTTTAAAAGCTTTATTGGCAATTCTTTAAAAGCATTATGATCTCAAACATGGGCTTAAAAACTCCCCTTCTCTTATGCATGAGAGAACTGATATTTGCAATGAGATAGCTGTAACTAGAAGCAACTTCAGACTTATATGTTTTATTTCATTGATATATTCATTTTTGTGAACCTCCCCTGAAAATTAAAAGTAAAATCAGAAGAAAAAGAAGACTCAATACAGGAGCTATGTTCTCATCCCATAATGGCGCTGATTCTAATGAAGCAGTAACTCAAGAGATTTTAGTCACATAACAAGAAAGGGGTGTATAAAACAGATTTATTCTCAAAGCATATCTATGAAGCGGATACCTTTTTTATGTTTTACACCTAAAAAATCTGAGACAGACTGTGTCCATGACTTTCTGAAGGTTGTACAGCTTGTAACACACTAATTGCTATTTGATTGAAATTAATAATATTTTAGACTCTTCATGCCTAATCAGCAGCACGTTCTTTTAATGTATATGTAAAACGTTTCTTACTGCTTGATGTGATCAGCATACATGAGCTCCTTCCTCACAGTGGGGAACAGTCACTCCTAGCCTTGCACATCACTCCCCAGTCTTGGAGTGTTAATCAGTGTTCAACAGAGATTCAGACTAGTGCACACATGTGTAAAGAAAAAAAAATTATAATAAGTAATAGAATCACATCATTACAGAGTGTAAGAATCTCAATGTCTATGTTCAAAAAGCCAAACACACAGGGAGAGCTGTTATATAGCTCCAGTTTCTGTCCAAATCCTTGAGACCCAAGAAATCTAATGATGTTCAATCCAGTCTGAAACTCAGAAGGTTCGAGTCTCATGAGGAGCCGGATTTCAGTCCAAGAGCTAAGGCAGTGAATAAACAATGTCTCAGCTCAGGTAAGCATATGGGAGTTCCGTTTCACTAAGCCTTTCCCTGCCACCAGGTAGAGCTTCAGAAGTTTCAGAGCATCAGAAGACTACTCACATAAGGCAAAACATTCTGCTTTACTCCTTCTCCCTATTCTAATGTCAGTAGCATCCAGGAACACCCTTATAACTGCAGCCAGAACAATGCTTGACCAGATCTCTGGATTTCACACAATTAGTCAAGTTGATATATGCAATTAACTGTCATAGTTGGCAACAAACATATTGTTTTGTTTAGTACACATTTTGTCTACAAACACATCCTATGAATTTGTGTCTGTTGGATTATGGAAAATTTAACAGCCTGCCTATACCATGTATAGAAAAGAAATAGATTTCCCAGAGCCAAACATGTTTATTTCAGAAAATTTTCATTCTGGTGTATAAGTTTCCTGATGATCTAAATCCTATCTCCCTGTATAACCATCATAAGGTATTACCAAATTTAATGACTTCATATCTAGGATATTTTTATTGGGATTTCTGATGTACTACATGGTAAGTTTGGTTCTTACGAGAATGAAAATAATGTTTCCCTATAATCTGAAAGCTGAGAAACAACTGTGGCACTCCACATTATGATTAAGTTCATGCTAAATTCTTGAGGCAATTTTGATTTTAAATTATTCTATTGCAATGATCACATGCTCAGCAAATATCATTTGTTCTTACATTTAAAAAGAAGTATGTGGATGTGTGTGTGTGTGTGTGTGTGTGTGTGTGTGTGTGTGTGTGTGTGTGTGTAGATAGGTAGGTAGGTAGGTAAGTTGTTGGTAGTTCCTAATTTCGTAAGCTTTTATATAGTGGCCCATAAATAAATGCTGAGTACATATCTTCATAATGTCTTTTGTTTAAAGCCTCAAGTATTTTCTATAAGGAATCTCATTAAATTAAGTTTAACTTTCACCTTTAGGCTTAAACATTCATCTAAATAGTTGTTATTCTTTGAAAGTGTATTAACTTTGATAGTATTATCTGTAATCAAAGTGATAAAGTACAATTGTCATAGAAAACACCAGAGGATTTTCATTAAGAATGTTTGCAGTATTTCAGATTTGCTTGTTGCTTTGCATCCCAGTTAGTTCATTCCTTCCTTGTGCTCTCTGAAGTAAGAAAGTGTTTTAGCTGTGAGTTGATGTTCTTAACCCTTGCAGCCAATCGTCCAGACAAATGCAATTTTAATGAGACCTTTCCTTTTGAGAATTTCTAAGGATGCTTTTGTGAGACAGATAGCAAAGCAGCAAAATGTTAGCAATATTTGGAGAAAGTTATTTGCATTTGGTTGTTTTTAAACACCTTGAGAGAAGATAAGAAAAATGTCTTTGTTTCAAAGAAAAATTTACAAGTACATTTGTTAATAGGCTTTACCCATTTCATAAATGGGAGCTACATATTTATATCTATTTCAAATATTGAAAATGTAACAAGAAATTGTTAACAGTTGTATTCATTGTTGTCTGAGTTCACTGAGTGGAGATTCCTGACTTCTTTGCTATTTTAATTCATGTAACTTCTCACTAGAGGTTTTAAAAACCAGAAATGTGTGGATAATGAGAAGTTTCTGATCATGTCCCATTCATGTTAAGTAATGACACAGTCAGGCAACTGGCACTACTATATATAAATAGCAAGCCACTCCATGGCTGTTGGTAATACAGAGAATACACACTAAAGAACTGAAAATATGTCACCGATTTTTAAAGTAGCATTTTCATTTTTTTCCACTCTGTCACCAACCCAATCCCAAGATATTTTACATGTTTATAAACTTAAATGTTAATCCATATCTCTTGTGTACAGACCTTGAAGAGGCAGTATGGCTCTTCTTCTGATCCACATGAGAGACCTAGATTATGTTTTTGACCTCCTGCTTTAGCCCAGTCCAACCCTAGCTGCTAGAGGCATTTGAGGCTTGAGGGTTGGCCAATCCTGTCTCTCTCTCTCTCTCTCTTACTCCTTTTCTCTCTCTCTCCCTTAAATAAACACTTGAACCAAGAAATCAAAGCAACTGAATCTAAAAAATTGTATAAAGGCAGTATGATACAGCCAAAAACTTCAGCGCTTTACCAAAACCATGATTACTGGATTGGTAGCACTTAAGACACCCTAAACAGCATGTTTTTTTTTTCCTCTAAATTGGGAGACAGCATTAACTAAATATTTGCAATCTAAGAATACTCATTGTAAAATATTTAGAAATATTACTACTGATGCTTATATTTTGCAACAGGACTACAGAATTATTTTTCAAGAAAATTATCACATAACCATAGGTACTTCACAATGTTTATCAGAATGGGATTAAAAGACAAGTCTATTTTGTTCAGAAATTTTTGGAAATCCATGCATAGCTTTCTATAGTATGCATTCATATTAAAGTTTGAAGCTCTCTTCCTATTTCCTAAATTTTTGCACTAAAGGTATTTAACCTTTTGATTTATTTTGCAAGACATTCAGGACTACTTATGTAGATAATCTCAAAGTCTTAAAATAGCAAACATTCTATATTAACCCTGTTTTATATGAGGTGCTGTTATTTCAGTGCTCTTAAAAAAGAGAGTGATTCCTAAACTGGCTGAAGAGGATCTGTAATACTGAAACCTTAGAAACCTTTCAGCATCCTTCTCATCATTAGCTCTTGCTATATGGAACAAAATCTTTTAAGAATGATGACTTTAACTGAATTCTATCTTCCATTCAATTCTCACTCTATGGTCAAATATATGACTACATAAGGGAGTTAGGACTTCCCATTGAACAAATTGAAAATATAGGCTAGTGGACAACTTTTGGCACATTTTTAATGATTCTTCGTGTATCACTGCATTTATGCCTGCTTTACTTTTTCTTTTGGATGCAAGAGAAGGAACTTTTAGTAATATCCCTAACAGTGTAATGTGGTGCATATAATTAACCTCATTTCATGGTATGTGAATCTCAGAGGGATTAACCTGCCCATGTTATCATAAATCCTGAGTACTTATTCTAAAT